TATATATTTTAAGCTGTAAGTTGTTTAGTTTTGAAAAAATTACTAGCTGCGTTAAATCTGCTGGTAAACAAAGGACAATACTGCTAATACAAGATTAAATCTCACTGGAGAAGGTAGATTAAATAAAGTGTGTGGATCATGTTTAGTTTCAGCTTTCTAGAGCGTTTATTAGAACTCTTTTTTTTTTTTTTTTTTTTTTTGAGAACATCACTGTAGTGAGGATCTAGGTTCTGGATGTCATAAATATTGTTGGAGGGATGGGGCTGCCTTGTACTTCATTCTAAATCACAGTGTCTTCTTTTGATGCTTCAAAGGAAGTCAGGAAACTTCTTCTGTAAGTGAAGTATATTTTCAGTTGATCTAAGGAGGAGAGGATGAAGGCAGAAACTTCAGTAACAGGTTTCCTGTTCTCTTGTTAGGCAGCCGGAATCTGATGAGGATGGGGGAAAAAAGGGTAATAAAATATAAATGAACAAGAGTTTTGCAGGTCCTAGGGTGGGGGTAGGGAATTTTTAAAAAATCCACTGAGGACATAAATAAAGATATAAACAAGTAGAGAAATAATTATCTTTTTGCAGAAAGGTTCAGTGTTATAAACTCTTCCTAATAACTCACAGTGTCTGTTCATTTATCAGCTGATCATTCAGAGCTTCTTCCATCAATCCTCTGCAGTTGCTTTGTCTCCATAGCACTAACACCCAGATAGTATTAGTATGTATTTCCTTAGTCATGTTTTTCTGTCTTCTAGAATTAACTTATCAAAGTATGCTTGTGTTTCTTCTCTTACTATGCTGCGGACTTACATGAATGTATTTTGTCCCTTATATTACCAGCATGTTGATTGTGTTTAGCTCATAGGATGCAGTCAAGGCCTGGGAAATGAGTGAAAGAATAAATAAAACTTTCTCTCATGACCACAGAACTGATTGTCTGTTTCATAGTTTTTGATCATTAGTTATGTTTAGTGTAGCATCTTATAATGCTTTCTATTATTTTCTTTTAGCTCACTGTCTGATTGTTTCATTCCTGTAAGACATTCTTTTCTATGCTACTTAATGGCAGGAGTGGGACAAATGCTTTCTTTGTATACCTCACAGCACAAGACAAATGGATGTAGAAACTTGGGGAATTCAATACATTTATTCATAATGACTTAAATTGCCAAAATCCAGTTCAACAAAAAGAGTATTTTGCTGGATAAAAAAGGATAATTTTGTGTGAAATAGTTTTTTTTTTTTTCTTTTAAAGAATGAAAATTTTTTTGACTTCCCTTATGGTAAAGTTTGGTAAATGAAAGTTGGAACTTTTGCAAATATAGTTTTAAGAGCTTTTGCACTCAATTTAAGTAAAATAAAAACATCATAGTTTTAAGTGAGTTATAGAGTTCTTAACCTTGGAATGTTAAGTTTTTTAGAAAGTTCTCTTATGTTATAGTTTTTGGGAGGTAGTTTTAAAATATTAATTCAAAATAAGTAAAACATTGCAGGTTACTTATTTTTTATATGTGCTTTTGTAAGTATAATACGCAGATGTTGATAAACTTATACTAACTTCATTTAACAGTTTGTGTAACTGGCTTGTACCTTAATTGTTGCTAATCTGCAAATCTCTTTTGTGTATTGTTTCTTGGAGGAAATATTTTAACAGTTGTTGAAATAGTACTACATAAGTTTAGAAAGAGAAATGTAAAACTATGTAAAAGTTTTGTTGGTTTTTTTCTAATATGAAAAATTGTTTATTTATTTATTTTTTGCTTTATTTCAGGCCAGTCTATCCATATGGGGATGGGGAAGCCTTGGCATTGTCCTTTTTCTGATAACCTTTGGACCCTTTGTAATATTTTATTTGGCATTTTATATCCTCTGCTTTGTGGGTGGGTAAGTATACTCAATGATAATTTTACAGTTAATTTGTTATTTTCAGAATAAAAAATGACTATGTAATTAAGAGTGTCATTTATGAATTCAATTTTTATCAGAGTTTAAATACAGTTGATACCCATTTGTACCAGAAATATGGCTGGTTATCTTTAAAAATAAAACTTCATTTTTAGAAGATACAAATTGTTTTGTGATAAGTTTTAAAGATTTTTAGGGCTGGTGAGATGGCTCAGTGGTCTAAAGCACCTACTTAGAACAAGCTTAGCAAAGCACAGGGTCTGCGGTTCAATCCCCCAGCACCACATGCCGCCAGCCCCGCCCCCTGGTGGGCTGAGCTGGCCACACACACACAAAATTTAAAATAAATAAATAAATAAATAAATGGGAATGTTAATTAAAAAAATAAATAAAAGACAGATGTTTTAAAAAAAGATTTTTAAAAATCATTTTGTTAATATTTCCCTGTTAAACTTGAAATCTTCTTATCCATTAAGATACTAAGATAAGTATATTGATTTGAGAGACACACAAAGTTTTGTTTTGTACAGATTTGTTTCATTGATTAGACTTCAAATAAAAATGTTATTTCTCCTAACAAACGTTACTTTGGTCTAGAAAATTAAAATACCTCATTTTACAGTTTTTTCTTCATGGTTATTTTGTTTGCAATTTTTATGTTTTCCCTTAAGTCTATAAATATTTACAAAGGAGCTTTTAGTGATACTGTATTATGGCTTCATACAAAGCATTTGGTATCAGAGTGAACCATAAGAAAATGTAAGAGGAGCCAGGGAGATGGCTCAGTGGAATAAGCGCTTCCCTGGCAAGTGCAAGGGCCTGAGTTCAGTCCCTGGTTCCGCAACAAGACAAAAGAAAATATATAGAAAAGTAAAATACTTGTTAGCTGGTCTAATCAAGGTAGTTTAGCTGAAACATTCTCTTGTTTGTGTATTGTATGATTAGTCATGGAACACACACTGAATGAGGTTTTTTTTGTTTTTCTTTTGAGACCTCAGACATTTGGAGTCATCTGAATATGCAGACTTATAGGAGTTAGCTGAATTAAATACAATCTGTATACTATGGCAGGAGAAGTGTTGTGTAAGATACTGAGTTGGTGGCTTCTTAGTGTATTTCCCCCTTTTCACTTCCTTTAGGATACAGATTTGAAAGTTTTATGAGTGATAGTTTTATTGGGAGCATACTTACTGATTATTGAACAAATAAGAGTTAATTAAATTGAGCAGCTGTGTCAAAGATTCCATAAAGCAGTGTTTTATGTTAGATTCAGTATTTTCATAATGAAAATATGTTGTAATCCTGATATGATATGGATATGGTATACTGAAACAAACTTATTCACAAGTTTCAGATGCTATAGAGTTCAGAGTGTCTTTTTTATGATAAAGATGATTGAAGAACATAAAGCTGTGCAAACCAGCAAACTAATCACACTCATCAGTCACAGATTATGGGCACAGCATGGCTGTATAGCTGCATGTTTGCACCTTTCTTAACAGGGTCAAGGCTGCTTTCTCTGATTGGAAAGAAGATTATTTTTCTTCAGATGTTTCTCTGAAGGGAGAGATTTCTTCTGATTTTCCTAATTAAACCTTTGGCAAGAGTGAAGGAAAAGTACTATACTTTGGAAAGGGAAACATACAGCTTTAGATTAAAGATAGGAGCTGAGCCCCTGACAGGCAGAGATGTGGAGACTCATTTCTCTATTGTTAAATGCTGAATAGATTTGGGCAACAGAGGGAGATCAGTCCAATTCAAAGTCATGGGGAATTTTGTTCCTCTTTTTCTTAATCTGCTAATTGGTGAAAGAATTTCAAAAGATCTTGGATACTTAGAAAAATCTGTAAAATCTTCAGGTAAGGTAAGCTATATTGAAGGTTGTAGGTAGACTGTTGAGGGGTGCAGTTACTATTTAGGTGGTATGATACCGTGTGATATTCTAAGTTTGTGTTAAATCATAAATTGATCTGACATTCTATTCAAGACCTGATCTTAGTGAAATTCACTGCCGTGGTAAGGGTATTTCTACTTTCATCAGACCTCTGAAACTCATCTTAGGAGGATTAGTTAATTAAGTATTCCCAGATTACACAGTTATGTTCATTGACTATCATTTCCTGAGTAAAATCTTTCTTAACTTCTAACAAGAATGATTGTCCCTTTCTACAATATCTTAATGTCTTATGATTTAAAGAACAAAAATAGGCTTTAAAAAGATCTTTTTTTTTTTTTAGTACAGGGTCTTACTATGTAGATCGAACTCTTGTGATCCACCTGTTTTCAGCCTCCCAAGAGCTGGGATTACAGGTGTGTGCCACCACACCCAGTCTCAATCACTGTCTCTGCTCAGCGTGCCCCACTGGTGGGGGCAGTGCAGCATGATGGGGGTCGAACCCCAGCCACTGCTTCTGCCTAAAAAGCAGGTGCTTTAATGCGCTGAACTATTTGGCCAGCCCCACAGTATCATTTTTAGGTCAAAGGTTTATGTATGTATGTATTTATTTATTTATTTATTTATTTATTTATTTTTGTGGTACTAGGGATTGAACTCAGGACCCTGTGCTTCCCAGGCAAGTGCTTAATTCTGCTGAGCTATCTTCCTGGCCCAAAGAAAGGCTTTTAATAATTGTAAATTTTCTTAGTTTTGG